GTACCTCTATACAAGTTTCATGTATCCTAGTACAATTTACTGTGCCAAATAACACAGTACAAGAATCCCAAGTATCCCTTTCACAATCCTTAAGTATCTTTGCATAATCCCAAGTATCCCAACACAATTCTCAGATGTCTCTGCATAATCCCAAGTGTCTCTACATAATCCCCAACTGTCCCTGCACAGACTCAAGTACCTTGATACATGCTCCAAGTGTTTCAAGTACAAATGACAAATATACATAAACATTGTTCTAACTATTCTTGTACAAACTCTACTTGCCTCTGCACAATCCCTACTACTCCAAGTACAGTATTAAGAGATGTTACTCAAACCTCCACTATCCCTACTAGGTAAAAAGATATATAAAGGGTATCTTTTGTCCTTTCCTACCAATTCTAAGTTCCTATACTTCAACCCAAACATAATGACCTTTTAATGATAAAATGTGATATTCCTCCTCTAGAGTAATTCCTACAGACAAGGTTATTACTATATGTTTATTTAATAAAAATTAATCTATATACTGTTACTATCTCGAACCGTTTGCCTACTGCTATATAGTAAAGTAAACTATTACACTTCCACCTCGTATATATTTGCAATAGTCAATCACTGTACTAGGTGACCTTGTTACTTGGTTGTATTATACCAAGAAGGCTGCAACCCTGTAATACTATAAAAATAGATATAAAAGGCTCTGAAAAGTTTACTTTAAGGATAAAATAGTTTTAAGGTTAAGATGATAATCTGGACATTAGGGACCTGACAGAAATCAGCTGATTTTTTAGTAGGTGGGTGGATTAACTAAAATATCAGATCTATATAATATATATATATTTTTATATAGTACATATATACATATATATATCTAACTAAATATATATTGTATATATACATATTGAAATTAATTTCAAAGTAAGTAATATATAATTGCACTTGTATATACATAGAATATATGGCTAGACTAAATGCATAAATAGCTTTTTGTGATGTGCATACTTGAATTTATGATTAAATAAAGCAGTAACTTCAGAATTAACTTAGCTATTAATATTTCAATTCAACTTGAATGATTTATTCCGACATGCATATATAAATAAGCAATAGAAGCAAATACAAGACATACTTTCAAATTTTAATCTTTCTATGTATAAAGCCACTTTTTACTTTGTAAGAATATAAAAAAACAGTAATAGTAAGTTGTGGCTTGGTTGAAATGACATTAGATTTTTTGTAAAATGTATTGCTTTAATATAGAAATAATCTTTCTTAGCTTTTAACTTTTATCTTTTGTAAAAATTAGTAAAAATTTCAGCATTTTGCCATTTAAGTTTTGAACGCAGAGGATTAAAGTATGATTTTATCTTTTACTGCCTTTATTTTTTTTGAATATTTCTTTTATGCTTAATTTATTTATTATTCGATATCAGAAAAAAAAGCTTGGAATAAAAACACCTAATATCATTTTTTTACCTAAAGCAAAATTAGGAAAACATTCTATAGTTGCTACCTGAAGTTTGGATTTTCTGCCCTGGCAAAAAGAATGTTTCAATTTTTTATGCTAAGCAAGAAAGAATAGAATAGGAAAGTATTGATTACAGATAGAACAAACTAATCATAAGTATAATTCAGAGGAGATAAAGAGGCAGTGTTAATCATAGCCTAGAAGTTTTGTTTGCTTTATATATTGGAGTATATATATAGAGTTAAGAAAATGGCCATCCTAACCTTTGGTAGCTGATAATAAAAATCCATCATTTTCATCTAACAAGACATATGCTTCTTCAGCTTTTCATACAGAACAACACATAAGGTCTTTGTATTTCCTAATATCCAAAGAGTAATGACATATTTGACGATGATTTTCTATCTAGCTCCAAGATATACTTGGAACTTTACTAAAAATGTTAGCTTTTTAATTAATATAATCAACTAACACTTCTTTTCTATGAATATAATCCTGCTACCAAATATTACAAAATCTTTCACTAGTATAACAAAAGTTTTGGTTTGCCAACTCATTATCTATAATATTATCACTAGAATCGAGATAAGAGCCAAAATGGTCAATGGGCAAAACAATACTTGCCAACTTTCCCAAAAGGGTTGACATACTACGCTTTACTGAATTGTAGGCAGATTGTTCCAAGGCATAAGTTTAAATGATAAAATAATCTAAATTTAGTTTCAAAAATAATTTACAGTATTCTTTTATGTTTTTTAGCTGCCTGAGGTTTTTATTGAGACTGCTATCTACTAATAAGACTAGAATTAGCTTAACCTTATCTTTACATTTTAATGCTTCATTTAGAACAGGATTTTTCATCATAGATAATAGGTCAGCTATGTGAATTAAGAATAACATATTAAGAGACCACTGTGGGCAGATAAAAATTGATAGTTGACTATTACATAATGAATTATTAGAATTGTTCATATCAATTGTAAGGTAAACTAAAGGAATTAATTTTTGTTTTTTTCTTTTTGAAAAGTTATAATCAGATATAGTTACTGGTTCTTGGACAGTTTGTAAAGTCTTGAATATTCTACCAACATCCAGGATACCTAGAGAAACTTTTGCTTTATCATCCTATGATATAATTACCAAATGAGAAGCAAAAAAATATGTGAACTGTTTGGCACCTTTGACTATATGCAAACAATAATATTCATTAATATGTTCTGGCATTTCATTCTTTGACATAGAGTTTACTTGAATTGATATAGGGTGGTGGTGTCTTTTAGATTGTAATGAATCAATTTACCTGGGCCACATATACGTATTTAAACAAGTATATGATATATAGACCTGATATCTTTCTTTTATTATTTTTTTTAAGTGAAAAATTGTGCATACTTTAATAACTTCCTTTTGTCTTTTTTTAGCAGTACTACTGAATTTAATGCATGAATGTAACTGTTCAGGAAGTTCATGATTTAAAAGAAGAAAAGATAGTCATCTGGGCATGTCATACCTAACAACTTCATCTTTTTCTTTCAAAGCTCTTCATTTTTTTTCTTAACTTTTGGCTTGGGCAGCAGCATGTTTCTGTAATCTTTGTCTTTCTTTTTTCTCAGCTTCAATTTCTTTTTTAGTTTTAGTAATTTGAACCAAGAAATCATGCCTTCTTTCAGAATTACATGTGACATTAAGTAATAAATTTAGTTCATCAAGCTGATTTTTAGCAATATTTTGCTTTTTTAATGAACTTCTTTAAGCTGTTGCATTTGGAGGCAGTTCTTCTAATTCTATCATCGATACAGATAAGGAACTAGCTTCATCTGCAGTTATAGATTGATTTGTTGAAGATGGTGTAGATGGAAAAGATGCATATTGAATAGGTTGAAGAGGGGCTTTTAGATAACTATCTATTTTACATTCAATAATGCCTTTATCTAAACTTTTCACAGTTTTCTATTCATTTTACACTTTTATAAAAACATCTTGTTTTTTAGAAGAAGGATTATTTATTGAAATCACCATATGATAAATGTATGCATTGTAAAAATTTTCATATAAGTGTGAAGAATTCTTAAAAATATATTTTTTATCATACTTAGGAGTATTTAAAAATCTTTGCATTCTTTATTTTTTTTATTTATTTTTTTTTATATTTTAACTTTTGCTTTTGCTAGTCTGTAAAATAGATTTATTTATTGAATTTTTAATTTTTAATATTTATTCAAGATTCAGAAGTTTTTATTAGCTAATATATTGCAATTTTTTAAAAAAATTATGCAATATTATTAATATATTTTAATTTTTTTTTTCGATAGTAACATGTAGCTTTGCGAATTCATTAAACAATACATTTTAATGCAAGTACATTTAAGATTCTTCCAAATTCATACGAATAGTCTTTTGAAGGCTTGATACTAGTTAGTTTTTCTTATTTTCTTATTTTAAATGCATGAATTCTAATTAACTATGGGTTATTATTTTTCCTTTTTTGAACTTGAGTAATTACATGGTCCCTTTAATTTAACCATTACTGTATGAATGCGAAATAACACCCATTTGCACATTATTTTGTAGCTGCACTTATGGAGGGTTAATTGTATATCATAATAAATTATATGCTACATTAGGATGTGCATTAATTTGGGATTCACATGGGTGCTAATTTGAGGTCATATAAGCTATTTTTAAAAGACCCGAGTTTAAAATAATGCCTGAAAGTTATTTCATATTTATACAGTATTATTTATGAGGATTTGATATTTTTTTTGTATCTTTACTAGTTCTTAAACTTTATTTCAAATAAGACTAAAGATCTTAGCATATATATATGCATGCATTTATGTAGCAATTTTAGATATTTGGCTTTATCAGGTATTTTATACCAAGCTTTTTGCTAATTGTGTCAAATATTGGTTGTATAATAATGTGAATCATAAGAGCCATAATGATAATAATAATATGCAATTTAGAGAATTTGAACAAGAATACAAGTTATCATTACTGAATTTGGATTAAAACTCCAACAAAATAATTCCAACAAATGCATTAAATAATATTATCTATGGCTCTGATTTAATTTTTTGGAATTTTGATCCAAATTTATCATTACATCTCTGTCTATGATGCTATATATTAAGTGAATAATTTGCAATTGAGACTTCATTTTTTACTATATTTGGATAATAAAGCATTTTATTTTGTACATACATAGTGATACTATGTATAAACTCAATAAAATAATGTCCTGATTTTAATGCAGTTGCATAATAGGCAAATACAAGATTAATTTAACAATTAGAAAATGCAAAATTTTTTGTGTACTGATAAATGAAGTTAGCATAGCCATGTACAGTCAATTTTGAATATACTGAATCTGCCTATACTGAAATCGGGATTTAGCAAACCAGATCAGGCAGAACAGATTTTTTATAATAATTTAGACTGATTGTACCAAACTCAAATAGTAAAACTTTATATACCACATCTGAACTCTTTTTTATCAACTCAGGACTATGTATATGTATACAATATAATAAACTATCATAAGACTTTGCAAATATACATACCTGAGAAGTCATGAGATCTGAAATATTTTGAAAAGAAAATATAAGGACAAGGCAAAAATTTTTGGAGATTTTCTGAAATAAACTTGTTTATATGCAAATTTTATTGGTTAGCTTTATATACCAAACTGTTTGGTATAAAGAGTGTAAATTATATAATGAATTTACTCTATACCAAATAAGATCTTTCAGAATATGCAGTTCAGTATATTAAGAGTTGACTGTATTAGTATAAATGTGCAAGTTTAACAGGTTATAATTTATTATATTTTACTCTTTATCTATATATGTTACAATATTTATACTTATTAAGAAATTTTTATATATAATAGATAAGAGAAATTTGATTGGTTAATTAATATATTAGGTGTGAGTGAGTAGAGATAGCCTTTTAGTAAAGTTAAATCATCTAATTTCTGTCAGCTTCCTTATCTACAGGATCATTTCACTGACAGTCATTTCACTGACAGTCATTTTACCGACAGTTAGTTCACTAACAGTTATTTACAAACAACTATTATTATTATTATGTAATTTATTACTTTGCATCTAAAATGCTAATACTCAAATTTTTTTCCAGCTATTTTACATTTGATCTAATTTAATAACTATTTGTGCATCTCTATGAGCACCATTTTTTCTTTTTAAACTAAAAAAGAAATTGTTTTTATTTTAATATTTTTTAAATAGTATATACTTGTACTAGCACTATGTAGTACTTATGCTTTTCTCAAATAATTAGTCTATTTGCATCTTGAGATAAATTGTAAAGTCATTAAAATAATTTGAACCTAAGAGCTCAAATATGAAACTAATTAATTTGTAAATTCTTTTATAATAGCTAATAATAAGTCTATTATTAGTATCCATTCGGTCATTTAAAAGTCATTTAAGAATTAGAGAAATACATTATTTGATTTAAAAGTTGGATGGGCTGTTAAAATATTCAATGATACATCTTTAAGCTAGAAGGTGTAATTATTTTTATTTAATATAAATATTTAAAAAGCATGTTAAACAGATGCACTTTTTTGATTGGTTAACATTAACTAATATATATTGTAGATATATGTAAAAGCTAAGTTTGAAACTATGAAAAATTATACCAGCAGTTAATAGCATTACTTAATGAATCTATATTGTATTTATAGTTTTTTTTTTTAGGCTTAGCACTTCTTTTAGTAAACAACCAATTTCAATTAGTTTAATCGATTTTTTTTTGTTTCAATTCAGAGTTACTTTAATAATAAGGTTAAGATTTGAGAGGATCATAGTGTCAAAAAAATAGATGCTAGCTAATTTATGATTATTTAATTAGCAAAAAAGAAAAAGGACATTTGAGCACATTGTTTCTAATCAAGCCTTTCAACTTTTTGACTTTGATAAATTCAATTATGAATTGATTAATTATCACTTTTTTTATTTTATTGATTTTGATAAATTTGTTCAATCTCATATACTTATGCTTTTCTTTATATCATTTAATGCTAATATGATTTTTGAGGTTTGTTGGCAAATAAAAGAATTAAACGTTTTGTAATATGCTGATTGCGCAGCATTTTCAGCTAAAGATAGGTCTGACTTCTACCAATTTATAGCAATTGCACGAATACTAAGAACAGAGTGTTATGTAGTGATAGGCTATGCAACAAGGAAGACTATTTGGCTTGCATATGTGTTTATTATAAATACTAAATATATGAAGCCATCTCATTACATTTTTCAGGTTTTTTTTTGTTATGTTGCTAGTAAGTAACACTTCTAATGAATTGGAAAGATATATTCTCTGAATTAGATATCTCAAAGTCTTATATTCTTATAGGCAGAAGTTTGTCTAATTAGCTAATAAATTCAATTTAATTTTACATTATTTATATGGTATTTTTTTGAAAAACAAAAACTAATCATAAAAAAAAAAAAAAAAGCTATATAGACTTTGTAGTTAAAAAAGTTAGTATAGTAATAACTTCTCAAAACTCAATAAAATTAACTTATCACTAAGCTAATTTTTTTAAATAGACAATAATTGGATTTTAACTATAGAGTTATACAGCTCTAATGAAACCTTACATACAGATTTTTTTTTTATTTCATTATGATTAGTTTTCATTTTTCTTAAACTATATAAATAATGTAAAATTAAATTGAATTTATTAGTCAGTCAGATGAACTTCTGCCTATAACTCATATTCTCTTACTTTAATTATACTTTGACACAAAATATTTAACTCTACCAGGACAGCCTTCAAAAATATGAGCCATGTGATGGTATCACCTATGTTCAATATGTGCAATATGCAAATATGCAATGTAGGATTAAAATTTCATATTATAAACTCAACTATGGCAAGTGACACTACTAAATTACATGTATTTTTGAAGGCCATCCTAGTAGAGTTCAAAATGTTCTATTGTCTGCAGCATTTTCTGACAATATAGACATTCTCTATTCTTAGTACCAGTTTATGAATAAGTTTGCAATCTAAGGTAAAGCTTTGTGTGCTAATCGATGTAAATATCTTTTAAAATATAAATTCAGTTTGCTAATTATGCTAATTTTACTAGCTATTTTCGCTAGCTATATTTGCTATTAATGACCTCTGGCTCTGATGGTAAGTTATCTTTATATATGCAGATTTTTACCAATTAGGCCCTGAATAGAGCTACTAAATTTGGGTTTAATTTCTCATTTAATTTTTTGATTTGTCTAGTGAATTATTAGGATGATTATTTTGATTTTTCAAGGTTCTATTCTGCAAGAATTTAATGAATATGCACAAAACTCATTAGTTTATTATCTAATTTATTAGTTTAGGTCTACTGAAACATGCAGTTTGATATTGTTATTGTTACAAGTAAATAGTAAAAATAAACTTTTGTCTTAATGTCTTAGACAATTGTATTATTAATAACCTGTTTTACTATATTTTTTTTTTTTTAGGTACTAGCTTCTCTCTTTTGCATATTGTCACAAATCTGCAACATAACTATTTGTTCATATGCATATTTTTTTTGGTCATTTTCACTTATTTCTTATTGTTAGACTTGAAATTTGTTTTAAAGAATCACCTGACTTATAGCATATACAATTAACAGTAGGTCATACAAAAGGTTACAAAACACCAAGAAATATTATAGTTCTCATAGATATTGTAAATATAGTAATTCTAGTATTTATCATATATGTATTATATTTATTATAACTACTATATATACTAGTTATATTATATCACATATAACTATTAGATAGAGAAGATATAGTATAACTGGTAGATATAATAGTTATTCATTTTAGCTATAAAACATGTATAATTATCTCTAGGTTCTTCTTTGGAATTCAACTAAATCATGTCTTTATACACAAGATAAAACTCAATTGAATTATTAAGTGAAGTAATAATTTTAATCATATGACTATTATGATAAAACCCTGTATAGTTATATGACTACTTGTATCTTTATATACATTTAGTTGTAGTCTCTTTTGTAACTGCAAATCATCTTAAATCCTCTTAAAGTATACTTGCAATAACTCTTTTTACTTAGCATAAATTAGCATTTGTTATTAGCATTATAATATATCTGTTGCTAAAGTAAAACCATTATACCAAACTTATAAGAGATAGTTCTAAGTGTAACACTTATTATACAGTATTTATACTATTTAGTCAATAGGTCATTTCTTACAAGAGGATTTTCAAGCACCTTATTTACTATAATTCAATATAATATTGTAATAAAATTTACTAAAAACTATCAAGCTGTAGCAAATTTTAAAGTAATGAGTGTCAAGTAAAAGATCTTTTATTTAAAAGAAAATAAAATAAAAGAAGAAATATAAAAATAAATAAAATAATAACTAATTAAAAATAACTAAAAATAAGAAATAAAT